AGGCTGGAGGAGTCAAGGTGCAGAGGGCATTATCGACTTACCCCGGGGAGAAGCCTGCTGGTTGTGCAGGCCCAGGGAAGCAGAGGGTCATATATTCTTATCTAGAGCACTCACTTTTCATAGCCTATGTGTTATATTAGCACCGAGAAGACTGAGGCAGGAGCATTGATACACGTTCTATCTCTAAACATTTTTTACCAGTACTGACCCTTTCCCACTTTAGTTGGGCCCCAAATCCTCTAAAAACTCAAACAAAAAAAATTTGAGAGTGTCTCTTGTAGTGTAGACTGACCTTAAACTTGCTATGTAGGGGCTGGATAGATGGCTCAGTGGTTAAGAGCACTGGTTGTTCTTGCAGAAGACCCGGGTTCAAATCCCAGCACCCACATGGCAGCTAACAACTGTCCATAACTCCAGTCCCAGGGGATTCAACAGTCTTTTCTGACCTCTGAGGTCATTGCACGACAGGGGTGCACTTACCTACATGCAGGCAATACATACATATACATAAAAGAAATACAATTAAAAAAAACACTTGCTATGTAACTGAGGCTAATCTTGAATTCCTGATCCTCCTGCCTCTACTTTCCAAGAGCTGGAATTACAGGCATGAGCCACCAGGCCCAACTAAATTCTCCTCCTTCACCACCAGGCTTCTAGAGCTGTGGAGCTGGCTTCTTGACTGCAAATGGAGGAACACAAAAGTTTGGAAACACAATGCATAGCTCTCCAATCCTGATACGACTTATACTGACTGAGGAGCTATACCCCAATTTGTGGTTTTTCTTTTTAAATAGAATAGGAAATTGGGCTGGGCACCCCAGATTGGGTTGGATAAGGTTTCAATAGCCAGGTATAAGAGGAGAAAAAGAAAAGACCCAATTTCTGCCCCCTCAGGATTCTTGAGAAAGGACAAGTCCCTCTCATCTACCTACCTTCCCTTGCGTCTTCCCATAGACACAATGGGATCAGACTCCTTGGCCATTTGCTAATTCAGGAAGACTGGATGGGTTTCAGGGAGCCATGAAGACTAGGAGCCTTCCAATTCCACTCTTATCCAGTTACTGGGGTCTTCAATTCAGTCAAGAAATACAATCAGTGGTCAGCAGGGAGGCCAGCAAAGATGACACTTGTGACACTCTAGGAAAGCAGTGTGATAGTATATCCAGAACCTGGAAAACACCAGCTGCTTCATTCCTGTTTTAAAAATCCCATGTGTGCTAGGCATGGTGGTGCACACCTTTAATCCCAGCACTTGGGAGGCAGAGGCAGGTGGAGTGTTGTGAGTTCAAGGCCAGCTTGGTCTACATAGTGAGTTCAGGGGGACTCCTACATAGTGGGACTACAGGGAGACCCTGTCTCAAAAAGACAAAAAAAAAAAAATCTCGTGTGTGTGTGTGTACACATGCCATAGAGGGCATGTGGAAGGGAGGGGACAACTTGCAGGCATTGGTTCTTTTACCATGTGAGTCCTGTGACAGAACTCAGGCTTCTCAACAATACCATTACCCACCTTGCTGGCTGTTCAATTTCTTTTTTTTGGTGCAGGGAGGTCTTTTTGAGACAGGGTGTCTGTGTACTTACAGCTGGCCTGGAATCCACTCTGTAGACCAGGCTGCCTTTGAACTCACAGAGATCTACCTGCCTCTGTTTCCCGAGTGCTAGGACTAAAGACATGTGCCACCACACCCGGCTCCTGTTTCATTTTTAAAACTTCATCATAAATTAAAAACCAGAGACTCAGTGATTTGGGTACAGAAATATTTATCAAAGCACTATATGCAATAGCAATCTTGGTTAATAATCTGCAGGCAAATCATGGATGTCTGGTTAGGTAAATAAGGTTATATTCATGCTACTAAATATTATATATTAAACAGGACTGTATATAGAAATAGTAGAAAAATATCCTGACTCCCATCCTCAGACCTCTTGGGGGCTTTTACTGAGTTCATTATTGTATGACTGTATTCAACTGTGAACCTAAAAATTTACAGCCACCTTTGAAAGAGATGTATCCTTGCTCTGGAATGTGTTACTGAATATGTTAAAGCTGTAATGAAATGCTTCTAAAAAAAAAAACCTTGAAAATAAAATTTGAAAATTAAAAAAATAATAAAATATCCCATTTATATAAATGTTTACACATAGAAAAAGACTAAAAGAACAAAATATATTTGCACTTGAATAGGAATTTTATTATAAATAAAAAATATATATTTTGACAAGGTCTCTCTGTAGCCCTCAATCAAAGAGAATTGCCTGCTTCTGCCTCCCAAGTGCTAGGATTAAAGGTATGAACCACCACACCTGACTACTTTCTATTAAAAAAAAATTAAAACCATAAATGTTAAAATTTTGCCAGGCATGGTGGCACATGCTTTTAATCCCAGCACTCAGAAGGTAGAGGCAGGTGGATTTCTTTGAGCTCAAGGCCAGCCTGGTCTACATAGCAAGTTAAGTTGTAGCTTACTCTCTGTCTCCTCTATGACTGCAGAGGATGAACACTGAGGGAGCCTGGGAGAGGCTATAAAGCCATAAATGATGCCTTCCAGCCCCCACATGTGGTTTGTTCTGGTGAACACTGGGCCTGTGAAGGACAAGCATCAAACCCGTGACATAACTCTTGGTACTGTTTTAAAAATGAAGCACCCACCCCCCGCCTAGAAAAGGGATTTGCCAGCAGTCTGGGCGTCAGGATTCCTGGACTCCAGGTCCCAGAAGTGACTCAGCCAGCCTCAGGTTGTGCCTCCTGGCCTCGGTTTCCCTGGCTTGCTCTGTTGGTACTCCCCACCTACTGTGCAGGATATTAATAGGGTGAGGTGCTTTGAACTCCTCAGATGAAAGAGGCTGGGGAAGCAGCGCCCAGTTATTACCCTCCTCAGCCGGGCGTGGGCGCTGAGGTCAGCTGCTTTTCATGCTCCAGCCTCAAGGGCCCTCACTCTTGAGCCTTCCAAACTGTGAAGTGAGAACCAATCACCCCCTTTAGTGCTGCTTCAGAACAGATTTCCCCAAGCTGCACTCTCCTCCTTTCCAAGCTACCAGAAACCATCCTCCCCTTGATTCAATGTCAGTAGTCATTATGGAATGATGCTGTAGCTTTTCATCAATAAGTATACCAAAGGAAGGACATTCACTTCAGCTGGCAAAGCAGGCTGTGAGGGAGCCAAGCTTTCTGTAACGGCCCAGTGACCCTCCCCACTATCGTCTCTGGGACTGCTGTGAAAAGCATGAGAGGATGGTAAAATGTCAAACCCTGCATACACAAGTGAAGGGTTTGTGAAGGCCGACAAATACTCTGGCACAAGCTTCCCAAGGCCATCGGGCCTGGCAGGTTACAAGGGTAAAAATAAGTCTATAGCGCCACCTACTGGTTGAAAATGCAAACTGCATCCCTGCAGCCTCAAAAACAGCAAAGAGCAAAACAAGTATTTCCCAGTTTCACGTTATCCTAATTCCTGCAGGCCTTCCAAATAACTGTCCTCATACACAGGCAGTGTTTTCCTTAAACACCTCCCTTTGCACAATTTTTTTTCTTTCCTTTTTTTTAAAAAATACTCTTTTTTTGATCCTTTTTGAGACAGGGTCTCTCAGTAGCCCTAGCTGGTCTGGAACTCACTATGTAGACCAGGTTGGCCTTGAACTCAGAGATCCACCTGCCTCTGCCTCCAGAGTACAGGGATTAAAGGTGTGTGCCACCATGCCCGGCCCCCTATTCATTTTTTCAAAAAAAATATTAAGGCTAGGTGTGGGGGTGCACACCTTTAATCCCAGCACTTGGGAGGCAGAGGCAGGTGGATCTCTATGAGTTCAAGGCCAGCCTGGTCCACGCAGTGAGTTCCAGGACAGATGGGGCTACAGGGAGACCCTGTCTCAAAAAGACCAAAAAAAATTTTTTTAATTTTTATTTTATGTGTATGAGCGTATTGTCTGCATGTACGTGAGCGTGCCCGTGTCCTGCAATGCCGGGGAGGTCAGAAGAGAGCTTTGGATTCCCCTGGAACTGGAGTTAAGAACAGTTTGGAGCCGCCATGTCGGTGCTAGGAATCAAACCCGGGTCCTCTGCAAGAGTAGTCAGTGCTCTTAACCGCTGAACCATCTCTCCAGCCCCCCTATTTCATTTTTTAGGTAAACATCTTTCTCTTTTGGCAGTGCTGGAGACTGTGCATTCATGTTAGGTAGGCAAGGCCCTACCCCTGAGCTACATCCCTGACCCAACTTTTACTAATCATTCAGACTTTGACAAGCTAACATTTGCCAAAAATAGAACTAAAACCATGAAAATAAGACATTAAATAAGGTCTAACTAGGAAGAGTCCTCTTTGAGGGCTTGATCTTGAAGCATGCTGTTACAACTGAGGACAAAAATCACAAGACTGAGAGTTAAGGCCAGGCGTGGCGGCGCACCCCTTTAATCCCAGCACTTGGGAGGCAGAGGCAGGCAGATCTCTGTGAGTTTGAGGCCAGCCTGGTCTACGTAGAACGTTTCAGGCCAGCTGGGGCTACAGGGAGACCCTGTCTCAAAAAGACTGGAGAGTTGGTGTACATGGTCTAGTTTGGCTGATCCAATGCCGACCAAACAAGTGGGGTCGGCAAAATGGTGCAGCAGGTAAAAAGGTACTTGTCACCAAGCTTGATGACCTGAACTCAATCTCCAGAACCAACATGGTGGAAGGAGAGAACTACTCCCAACAAGTTGTCCTCTGACCCACACACATATACCCCCACACATAGATACACAAAATAAACAAATGTAATTAAAAAAAAAAAAAAAGAACAGCACCATCTGGAGGGAAGGAGATGTTCCTCTGTTCTTCCTCAAACCCCTGGGCCTAGAGGGTTGAAGAAAAGTTTGAGGCTACAAAAAATTAGAAAATAATCTCACATTATAGCACATCCCATCACAGGCCAAGTGGAGCCAGTTCTCAGCTTCCAGGTAGTGATTCCAGGGGGCAGGGCCCAGCCTCAAGGGCACCTCTGTCTGGATTTTTATCCGCAAGTCCTGTGCGGAGCTGAGTGTTCTCTTCCAGCCTCCCTGCTCTGGCCTGGGACACTGGCTTTGGGTCTGTACTCTGCTGAGCTGTCCGATGCGCTCCAGGGCCAGAGTGTTACAGCTACATGGTTTCCTGCTCTACTGACTGGTCTGAGGCCAGGTACTTTTCTTGGATGCCCAGAGTGCTGAGGAAAGGTGTGTCAAGGCTTATAGCACAGATAGAGGATAGGGACTGGCCTGGGCAGGATCTGACCTCTATTGATGCCCACCCTCCAAACATGTCCTTCTTTTTCCCTTGTTGCTATGTAAACCTACCAACATGCCCAACTCTACACTTTCTCCCAGTGCTGGGGATCAAATCCAGGACCTGAAGCACAGTAGACAAGTGTTCCGTCACTGGGCTACACCCGAGCCCTGAAGTCCACTCTCCAACAGGGCCCTCCATCACCAGCCTTCCTCCCCTGTACTCCATTACCTCTTTCCCCTTTACATGCAACACACCAAGCAAACTGGACCTCTTCCACTTCTCCCAATGGCCAAATGCTGTTTCATTCCCAGACTTCTGTATCTGCGGCTCTTCTGGTCAATAACCCCCCATCTTCTCATTAGTCAACACTGATGTCTTCTAAAGGACCAGCCTTTGCACACAGAAGCTAGTCACCGGGGAGCTCAATTGTCAATATGAAATCAGCCATCCATAGGGTGGTGCATCTACGTCCTGTAGCCACACCTCAGGGACCACCCCCCTCCTCTCACCCTTGGTGGTAGCCAGGAGCTGGGTGAGGCAAGAGTAAGGATACGAGGAGAAATGAAAGTCAGCTCCCACTGCAGCAGACATCATCGCCTCCAGGCTTCGCTGCTCCTGAACCCCAAAACAGTAGCCATTGGCTTTATCCACAGCCTGTAAGACTCGCTGGATGCTGTCCTTGTCCTGAACAAAGAGAACAGTGACTCAAAGAGGTGTGTAGAACTGAGGCTACAGCAAACTGCCTGCAGGCTCCAAACAAACTGCGTCTCCTCATGATGCCTCCATAGAGGCACCTTCTTTGGCCTGGAGTAGCTATCTATGTCCCCAAGGGCCTGGCTAAATTCTATCTTTCCAGAAAACCAATTGCCCGTTTTAGAATCGATAAGCTTTTCTATAGACACTTGTAGAGCCTTGGACTTCTTTCTATAGCAGACAGCATCCTTACCACTTTATAAATAATATCTCATCTGCCCTCTTACTTGGCCATGCAGCCTTTAAGGACAGGGAGTCTCAGATGGTCAAGGCATCTTTAGTGTCTAGAACAGTACTATTATTATTAGGGAGGCACCCGGTGAACATGGATGTTACTTGACCTGTAACTGTTTCCTCATCTACACACAATGAGAAGAGCCTATATATCACAATGGCATGGACAGATCAAAACGATGTGTGTTCGAACCTTAGTACAGTGCCCAGCAGGAAGAATGGGGCAAAGCTCTGGAAAGCGAGTTGTCAGGCATACAGCAACTCTCCTCACGATAGAGGAGAAAAGTGTGGCAACAGGGAAAAGACAAGTCAGCTCAGTTCGCCCACTGCAGAAAGGACTCTAAGTTACACTTGTGTCTCCCAGATTATCTCCACAGGGAGCAAGATAAAAGGCAGAGGCTGGGAACTGTTTTGTAAACTCAACACAGTTGTTCAGCTAAATGGACCCGCACACTGTCCCTTGGTCCTGGTCAAGTTCCTTACTAGAGATTTTCTGGACTTATCCACATTCACTCACACACAAAGACAGAGTATGTACAGATGACTCAGTGACACAGAATCAACAGGACAAAAGCTTAGTCTACCCTTTTTACTAGAATCACGCCCACCATGGATCTGGGTCCTGAAAGCAAACCCAAAGATAGACTCAACAGATTATTACTTGATACTTGGTATCAAATCTTTCTATATCCTTGGTCAGTGAGTCCCAGGTACGTCAGAGCGATGACCATGGGGAAGATATCTCTCATTACCCAATACCTGGATGTTCAGAGGGATAAAGGAGACCAGGCTGTAGTCTTCAATGAGTTGAACTAGTTTCTCATTGAGCTGGCGGTAGTGACTGAAGAAGGGGTCAGATGCCAGATGGTCAAGCAGGTAGGAGAGGTCTAGCACCTCTGTGTAGTAGTCCAGGTTGAAGGCTAAGGAAAAAACAAGGGCTCAGAAGCAGCTGGCACTGGGCTAATGACCTCAGGACTAGACAGGCTGAGGGTAAAGCTCAATAACAGAACATGTTTAGCATTCATAAAGGCCTGAATGAACCTACAGACCTGGAGTACAGTTCAGCAGCAGAGCACTTGCCTAGCATTCTAGGCACTAGGTTCCACCTCTAGCACTACAAGAAAAATACCTGAAGACTGGGACTGTGTTTTGTCTCTTTGTTATTGTTTGGATTTCTGAGACAACATCTCACACCTCAGCTCTGGCTGGCCTGCTACTCACTATGTAGCTGCCCAGGCTGGTTTTCAACTCACAGCAATCCTCCTGCCTCAGCCTCCTGTGTGCAGGGATTACAGGTATGAGCCATCACACCTAGCTTCCTTCATGTCTAATATTTGTTGCTGTAGTGAATGTTACTAAGAAGACAAATGCTATGTTGGGCCTGGTGTGCAGCTGGTATCCTAGCTATGAGGGAGGCAAGGAACAACTGCAAGTTCAAGGTCAGCCTGGGCTACAGGGTTAAATTCAAGGTGAACCTGGGCAACTCAGGACCCTAAACAAAAAGTAAAAAGACTCCTGAAAGCTATTCTGTGACCTCTGTGCACTATGGCACACAGGCCTACATCTATACACAATAAATTTAATAATTAAAAAATTACATGTGACGGGTATGGTGGCGCACACCTTTAATCCCAGCACTCGGGAGGCAGAGGCAGGTAGATCTCTGTGAGTTCAAGGCCAGCCTGGTCTACATAGTGAGTTCCAGGACAGCTGGGGCTATAGGGAGACCCTGTCTCAAAAAGACAAAAAAAAAAAAAAAAAAAAAATTACACATATGAGTACTTTGACTACATGCATATAAGACATGTGCCACTACACCTGGCTAAAATATTTGATTTCACCTGCCATTTATAACCAACTGCATGGATAGGTCTCTACCTCATGGGACTGTGAGGAATAAAGGCTCTGAACCCATTGCCTATCCAGTACACAGAAGTACATGGTCAATGACAGTACACAGCAGCATCAAACAGGTATTGAAACCATGCATAATCCATGTGGAGCTTGGCATATACACTATAAGGACTTCCTAAGTGCTGGCAGTTGGATCACTGCTACAGTCCAGCAGCATGGCCTCTTGGGTAAATCACTTTCTTTTCTGGGCCAGTTCCTTAATGTAAAATGAAGAGCCCAAAATAGTTGCTCTATTCATTCTACAAATAACTTCCTACTACAGGAGGAAAGTAGGCCTCTGCCATTGTCCACTTGGGCTCCTTGGCAAAGCTGCCCTCTAAGATACGCTGAGGAACTCCAGTCTGAGTGGTCCCTCCGAGTTGCTGACCTCACGTCCTGGCTGGCAGCTAGCCTCCCTAGAAAAGTCCACTTGCCTGTCATTTCCCCAAAAACCTTCCTCCCTGCTCACATACTGGTCATTTTAGTCTTCTTCTCTTGATTGCTTTATGGCTTCAGATTTTATTTAAGGAACTGATGTCACTAGCACAGCAGAGCACTCATTTGACAGAAAAAAGTGCTGGCCATGGGACACTACCAAGTTCCCCTGCCTGGTACTGGCCCATGTCTCCCTCAGTTGTCCCTGCCTCCTCCCTGTCCCTACTTCTTACCATGTGAAGTTGCAGCTCTAAGTTTACCTTACCTTGTCGACAAGTCAGACCTGGGATCTATCAGTGCTCCAACCTTAAGACTTCCAATCCCTACAACTACAAGAACAAACGCCTGCTCTTTTAGCCACCTGGTTGTTATTTTTGTTGCAGTGGTTTAAACTAGGGCAACACTTTTGCCCCTACAGGACTGGCTAGAGCAGTCCTGCAGCCGGCTAGCCCTCTCCTCACTCAGTCACCATATCACTGCTTCAGAGCAGTGCACCACTGTTCCCTTCCTCCAATCACCCACTGTCATACCACCTTGTTTTCACTCCTTGGAAACCTATCTGTAGCCCCCATTTCTAGAATCTACAACGTATCGTATCTTGCACAAAATAAATGGGCAGGAGTCAGGATCTGCTGTGGCTCTGGCAGGCCATGCAATCTGAGAGGCAGGTGCTTTCACACTTCACTCCAACCCAGTCTCTGCCCTACTTCTTCATGTTCCAAACAGGACTCTTACCCAGCTTCCCATAGTGCTCAATGAGGTCCATCTTGGAGAGGAGGTTGACATGGGGCAGCTCCACATGCAACATGGTGGCCAGGGAGGTGCATAGGACTGAAATGAACTTGCCTGGGTCTGTACAGTAGTGAGAATCCACGAGGTGGACAGCAGTCAGCTGTGAGGGGAAGACGCAGGAGGGAGTGAAGGACTGCCCTGAAGGGAACAGGGGCCCAGGTCTCCCTCATCTGATTAAGAGCCTGAGGGCTGAGTGTAAGCCTTCCTGGTAGTGCTCTCCTACTGCTGTTTCCTTGTATTTGTTTATGTTTGAGCCAAGGTCTCACATAACCCAGCCTGGCCTTGAACTCATGATGGGATTACAAGCATGCACCATTGCTTAAGCCTGGCAGTCTAACAGCCAGTTTCATGTCCTCTTCCCAGAAGACATGGGGCATTTTTTCCTTACAAGGTATCGTTTTCCCCCCTCCTTCAGTGCTGGGGACCAAAGCCAGGGCCTTTGTTTGGTGGGGCAAGCACTCTATCACTGTGCTAAATCTCCAAGCCTTCTTACAAGGTAACCTGCATCAAGCTCCTCAAAGGGCAACAGGTTCAAATTACACTAATCTGCTTTCTCTTCTCTTTCATACTCCTGCATACCAACTACATCACTGAGTTCATTTCTATACTGTGCCTTTCATTATTTAAAAACCAACTTTAGATACTAGCAAATCCATTTTACAGATGACAAAACTGAGGTTGAGTACGATGACTTACCCAGACCACACAGCGAGTTAGTGGCAGAGCCAAAATGGTTTTTAGTTTTACTCCAAATCAACTCGGCCTCTATCTCGCTGTGTGACATGGGGGCGTGGCAACTGTCCTCCTCCCTGTCTCAGCTCCTTCTGCAAAAGGGCCTGCCCGACCCAGGACGCACCCTGAGGTCCCACTGTGCCATCTGTGAGAAGATGCTGCGCAGGGCACCGTGGTGCGTGCAGAGCTCCACCTGGCCCGGGCAGTCGAAGAGGAGGTAGTGGCCGCGGAGAGGGGCGAGCTTGGCGCGCAGCCAGTCCAGGTTGGCTTCCAGATACTCCATGCAGTAGAGCAGGCCGCCGTTGGGCCCCAGCCGCAGCGCGTCCATCACGTCGCCCAGTCCCACCAGCTCGCCCACGTCCACGGCGCACTCATACGGCAGCCCCTCGTTGGCGGGGTCCAGGTTCACCACCGCCACGCGCCGGCCGAGCGCGCGCAGGAACTCGCTCATGCCCAGGCAGTACGTGGTCTTCCCGGAGCCCGGCGGCCCAATAACCGCCTGCCCGAAGGCCGTGCCCGGAGCTGCCCCCGCCATGGGCGAAACGGCATCCGCAGCTGAGCACTCCAGCTCCACTGCAACTCCGGTCTGCCCCGAGCGAAACCGCGAGACCCACGCACGACGCAGGAACCAACCGCCCGGGACGGGTGCGAAAAGCCACGACCTCTGTACGGCGCCGGAAGCGGCAGGCCCTAGAGCGGAAGTCCCGTGAGCGGAGCGAACCCAAAAAGCCCGCCCACAGAGGCGTGGCCACGCAACCGTGTGTCCCCACAGCCCGAACCAGAAGCTTCCGATTTTCCCAGCTGAAGTTGGAACCGGAAAGAAGGCCGGTCGTAGTAAACGCGTTCATTCTCGCGCGGCGCGGCCGGCGAGGAGACGGGAGAGGGGTGGAGGACGGCCGGCTCTCCTTCGGTCCCATCTCCTCCTAGCGGTGATGGTGCTCTGACCCCTCCAGCAGGCTGGGCCACAGGCAGGCCTCCTCTTCAAGATTCTGGGCTCAGCCCCAAAGGACTGGGGAAGGAGACCAAGCGAAGGCCTGACATCCAGGGGGAGGGAGGGCCTTTCTGGAAGCGTCTTTTGAGGTAGAGAAAGTAGGCAGGCCTGGAGTGACACCGAACCGGCGGTGTAGACTGCTGCTAGGCTGTAGGCGGCTCCAGAGGCGAACTAGGCCCAGGCGAGGCCGCGTGCTGCGGCTGAGGGCCCTCCAGCCTCACTCAGGCTCCAAGCGACTGCCCAGGGCACAGCTGGAACCCCTTACAAAAGCCTTGTCTGTCCGAAACTTCATGCTGGTGGGCGGCTGGCGGCGGAGCAGGGACTCCCGCTGGTCCTGGGGTAGAGGTTCGTCGTAGATGGTGGAGATGAGCCCCAAGCCAGTTCCACGGGGCCTCTTCTGTTGTCCAACTGGCTGTAGCTTCTCTCCGTGGTACCTGGATAAAACAAGGTTCCGGGTGAGCAGAGCTGCTTCTCTAAACCCCAGTAAAGAGCTTGTCAAGGGGCAGGAAGTAAGAGAAGGTTTGTCCTAAGAGATGGAACTTACTAGTAGTGCTAGGGATTAAACCCAGGGCCGTGTGCATGCCAGGCAAGCGCTCTACCTCTGAGCTATATCCCCAGCACCAAATATAAAGCTTTAAATCTGGAGCTCTGCTCTCTAACCTCTGGAGATGGTTTGTGCCAACAACCAGGAATCTCAGAATTTTCATTGCCACAACAAACTTCCCATGAAGCTCAAACTCAGTCTTGAAGAAATGACTTTACTGGGGAATCAATTAGGACTTGTTCTAAAACAAAGAAGTAGTATCTACTTTTTCCTTCTAACTCTGCTTGAAGTTCATCCCTATGGGGTACCTAGCTCCCATCCCAAAAACAATGGGAAGAAGGGAACAAAACAGTAAAAAGGCTGCCTTCTAGGAAGTCAGTCCCTCAGCCATACTCACCCCAATCCACGTTTGCATCTAGGGTGTTGACCATCACTATCCAGAGCCTCAGGCACCCCGGAGCACCTACTACCCAGGCCCTGACCCTCAGCCCAGCCCTGGCGCTCCATCACTTTCCGGCCGATGCCCTGCAAGGGGAAGCAATAAGCCTCAAATGTGATGCATCTTTCAGTTCTCATCAATGAAGCTCCCTCATGCAACAGAGGGCCAGGAAAACAAAAGGTCAATGGCCAAAATGTAGGGAATAAGTCTTCAGACAGATAAGTCCTTGGACAGGACTGCTATATTAAAACCATCCACCCAAGGCTCAGGGACCACTGTGGAACAGGGGGTGGAAAGATTCTAAGAGCCAGGAGAGGAGGCACATGACCATATGGAAACGGAGTCTTACAGGGTCCTGGAACTCCTCATATGAACCTATAGGGATGGTGTCAGCATGCACAAGACCCATGCTAACTCAAGCAGACAAAAACCCAGCACAGAACTGTGGAAATGGACAGTACACCCCAATCTTAGTCGAAGAATTATTGGCAGCTGATTACTGCTGGGTGAGAAAGAGCTGATCTTAAAGGGAGGGACTCTAGATAGGCTGCCTAGACCTCAGTGGATGAACTTGCACTGAGGGGCAGACATCTGGGGACATTGACATGATAGGTCTTAACACACATGACAGAATGTATGAATTCTAGTGAGGGCCTATGGGAGGGGACTAATGGGAAAGGGGGTATAAAGACAATTAAGATGTTCTGTATGAAATACACAAACATTCAATAAAAAAAAAAAAAAAGACTCAGATGTGGCTTAAGTTGGACAAGATGGTACATGCCTATGATTCCAGCACTTGGGGACAGAGGTAGGAGTGTGAATTTAAGGTCAGGCTGGGCTACATATGGAGCAACTATAGAAAGGGAAGAAGTAAGGGGGCTGGAGAGATGGCTCAGTGGTTAAGAACACTGGTTGTTCTTGCAGATGACCACAGTTCGAATCCTAGCACCCATGTGGCAGCTAACAACTGTCCGTAGCTCCAGTTCCAGGGGATCGGACAGCCTTTTGTGTCCTCTGTGGGCATTGCACGACACAGGTGCACTTACCTACATGCAGGCAATACATGCATACACATAAAATAAAAAATATTTTTTAAAAAGGGAAGAAGTAAAGGAGGCAAGGACAGGGAGGGGGAAATGAGAGAGCAAGAAGAATAGGGATGGAGCACAGCTTTAGTCCCAGCACTTGGGAGGCAGAGGCAGGGGGATCTCTGTGAGATCGAGGCCAGCCTGGTCTACCATAGTTTTAGGTCAGCTGGAGCTACAGAGAGACCTTGTCTCAAAAATACAAAAAAAAAAAAAAAAAAAAAAAAAAAAAAAAGGGATGGGAACGGGAAGGAATAGAGGTAACAAAGGAAAATGGGTCAGTGGGCTAGGCATAGTGCTCACTGACCTTGGTGTGGCGTTCAAAGGTGCCCACTTGGCGTCCAATCACAGAGCCATCTTCCTGGCCATCACGTAGTCTCTGTTCCAGGCGCATCTGGACAAAGTCTCGAGCATCCTTGTCGCCACCATCTGAGGAAGCACAGCCCATTTTACAGACGGGACCCTCTTAGCAGAAGGGATCAGAAATCTAGGGTCCCCCTGAAAGATGGATTCTTTTTCATGGTGTCCTGTTATCGCTCTCTTTAGACTGGGAGCTCACAAATAGGAACCTTGATTCTCCCCATCTTATAGATGAGGAAACTGCAGTATAGAAAAGTCACAGAACTAATTGAAGACAGAGATGGCAGGTCATTTTTCACTCCAGAAGTAGGATGTGATCAGAGCCAACTACAGATAATTGGCTGGTTGGTTGGTTGGTTTTAAGACAGGGTCTTACACTGTAGCCCAGGCTGGCTTCAAACTTGCATCAATCTTCATGTCTCACTTGGTCTTCTTAACGCTGGAATTTTAAGTGTACACCACCATTGCTGGAACATTTTCTTTCTTTCTTTTGGGTGGTGGTGCTAGGAATTGAACTTCACACATGCTAGACAAGTACTCTACCACTGAGGTGTATCCCCAGCCCTTGATAATTATTTAGAGAGGTGATTTAAAGTAAACATTAGGAGGATATGTAAAGGCTGCAAGAAAATACACCATTTTATGTAATGGACATAAGCATCTTCAGCTTTGGGAGTTTGGTTTGTTTGGGATAGGGTCAGCCTGTAGGCCCAGCTGGCCCCAATCTCAGATTGTGTGCCATCACACCAGGTGTACCTACACACTTTGGTATCCATGGGGGTCCTAGAACCAGTCTTCCCAAGGACACTGAGAGACAAGTACCCACTAGGCTACCACATGGAAACTGGTTCCCAATCTTAGCCTCTGCTAAGTATGTCTAGCATGTCTAGCCAACATACAAGGCCAGAGCACAAGTTCCACCTCCCCAGTACTGCCATCCCTTGCCCAGTACCTTTTTCATAATAGATGCTCATGTCCACATCCCAGTCATCGGCTGTCTGTTCATCAAAATCTACAGGGATAGAAAAGCATCCAGAAGCATGGGTTAAGGACTCTCAGTTCTTTGTTTTGTCTATGGTCTAGAGATCAGACCCAGGGCCTTACAGATGACAGTCAAGGTTGTCCTCTGCCCCAAGGATGCCAAGTTCTGTTGAGAGCTTAATCTAGTGTTAGACACATGTTCCAGGTTCTATCCCACCAATCCCTCATTCAAAAATAGGATGGCTGGTCTCACATTATACATTTACCATAAAGGGAAATCCACCATGCAGAACAGAGGCCCCCACCTCAGCCCTTGACTGGGTGCCAACCTGATGGGCTGGATCCTGAACATCCTCCAAAAACCTGTGTTAAAGGCCCAGTCCCCACTGTGGTACCAAGGAGAAGTGATAGGAATTTAAAGAGGTGGGGCCTGGTAGGTGGTTTTAGGTGTGCTCAAAAGGAGCTGTGGGACCCTGGTCTTCTCTGCATTCCAGCCATGAAGTGAATGGACTTTCTACACCAAGTGCTCCCACAATGTGCCACTTTGCCACCAGCATAAAAGCCAACAGACCATGGACTAAACCCTCTGGAACTGAGCCAAATAAACCTTTCTCTTTGGAAGATGATTTATCTCAGGTGTTTGTTACAGTGACCGAAAGCTAATACATGTCCTTACCGCCTCCTTCCTCCTGCCAGAACTGAGCGTCAGTGTAGAACACCAGTCCAGAGCCACCCTTCTCCCATTTGAGCTCAATCTCCTCCTCAAACAGCCGCTCAGCAGTCCGCTCCTGCCTGGTCACATCCTCATGTAGTGCTTCATGTCGCTCCCACTCCTCACACAGGTCATCTTCCTGGGAGAAGGCAGGGAGAGGGGACCTGTATGTCTAGCTTCTTGACCTCGGACCCAGGAAGAAAGAGTGTCAGGGCACAAGAAGCTTGTGGGACCCAGCCCTCAGTGCCATGCCTTGAGGTTTATCTAGAAGTAGCACATTTAGATCTTAAAACCTTGACCAACATCTGTCTCCATCCACTGTGCTTCTCGTCGCTGACTTACTCTGTGCATTTGGTCAGGCAGCTCCTGCTGGAAACGTACCCTCCTCCATGCTCACTGCTTCTCTACCTGTTGACAGCCTTGTGCTGAGCTCTACAGCCCACACAAAGCCCCCGCCCTCAGTTCCACAGCTCTCTCAGCAGGTTCTGAACTTTACTGTTAATCAGTATGCACTATTTAAGCCTTTATTGCAGCATAAGAGAAAGAAGGGACAGGACCTGGCACCACTGTCTGTTGTCAGGCCTTTCCCATAATTTGGTTTCTGGAGTCATCCCGTGGCTCTGAGGTTTGTGCCACTATTCCCATTTTCCAGAGGAGGAACCTTTCCTAGGTTCAGAGGTAAAGTGATTTGCCTACAACATACAACCAAGAGAGAGGCAGAACCAGCAGCAAACCCCGGTCAGCCCTTCCAGATGTCCCTTCTCTTCTTTCCACATTCCAAGGCAGGAAATGGATCATAGAATGTCTTTAGACTTGTCCACTAGTCCTTGCTTAGATGTGCTTAGATGTATTTGTGGAATAACAGGACAACTCTTGGCTTAAAACCTTGGGTGGTGCATGCCTTTAATTCCAGCACTCAGGAGGAAGAGGCAGAAAGCTCTCTGAGTTCAAGGCCAGCCTGCTTTACATATTGAGTTCCAAACCAGCAAGGGTTACCAAGTGAGACTGTTCAAACACAAAACAAGAGCCAGGCATGGTGGCATATGCCTTTAGTACCAGCACTCACTGGAAAGACACAGGGGAGGCAGATCTCTGTAAGATCAAGGCCAGCCTAATCTACAAAACAAATTCCTGGGAGACCTTGTCTCAAGAACAAAACAAAACAAACCAAAAAAGCAAGAAAACACTTAGGTATCCCATCCTGGTTAAACCCTAAGAGGCCACCAGAACCAGTGTTGCAGAGCAGGTGCTGGAGAAAAGTCAGGGATGAGGAGGTAGTGCAGATGTGTGGTAGCAACACTGCGCTAGGATTTTTGAAACCCCAATGCCTTACATTTTATATAGAAATAAACAAGTTTTCTCTTCCTGGGAGATGAAGGTAAGCCTGGACTACATGAGAACTTGTCTCGAAACAAAAAAAAGTTAAAAAAAGTTTTCCTGGGGGGCCGGCCATGGTGGTACATACCTTTAATCCCAGCACTTGGGCAGCAGAGGCAGGCAGCTCTCTGTGAGTTCAAGGCCAGCCTGGTCTACATAGTGAGTTCCAGGACAGCTGGGGTATAGGGAGACCCTGTCTCAAAAAGACAAACACACACACACACGTACAGGCCAGCCTGCACTACATATCAAGACCCTGTCTCAAAACCCTCCTGCTGGGGTATACTGGGATGACAGCAAGTCTCCTGTCTCAAAAAGACAAAAAAAAATTAAAAAAAGTTTTCCTGGGACTGGAGGGAAACTGGAGGGCTCAGCAGTTAAGAGCACTGGCTGCTCTTGCAGGCGGCCTGGTTTCAGTTCTAAGGATCCACATGGCTGCTAACAATTGTCCCTAACTCCAGTTCCAGGGGATTGGACACTCTCTTCTAAGGCCTCCATGGGCATTCTACAACACAGATGGACTTACATACATGCAGGTAAAACATTCATACACATAAAATAAATAAGATTTTAAAAGTTTTCCTAGCAAATTGTACATCACCTGATTTTATAGCGAAAGATTAAGAACTGTCTACTTTTCAGTTAAAGGCAGAGGCTAATGTTCAGGCCAGAACACAGAGGCACTAAGCACAGAGTAGAAGCATGGAAGGGGGACTGGGCTCCTGTCCCAGCTCTGCTTCTGCTTCTTTGGATGATTTTAGGTACATCTCTAGGTCAGTGTGTTTTCATCTATAAAAGGAACTTTCCCATTCTTTCTGAGGGGCTGAAAACAAGTCCCATTAATCCCAGCAATCAAGAGACAGAGGCAGGCAGATCTCTCTGATTTCAAGGCCAACCTGGTCTGCAAAGTGAGTTCCAGGCCAGCCAGCAGACAGGGCTCTACAGTGAGACCGTTTCCAAAACAAAAAAACAAGCAACTCTAGACCATCTGTTGCATTCACTCAGTGTTGGAGCTCTCCTATCCACAAACCCAGCCTCCTGAAGACCCTAGGTCAGACAGCTGACAAGAGAATGGTAGCAATGCCTTGCTCCTTACATCATCTGAGTGAGACTCCTCCTCCTCTTGTTCTCCTTCCTCCTCAGGCTCATCACAGGGGCTGATGTCTTCCAAGCGGGTTCCTTGGGGGATCTCCTCACCTTTGGCTGTGTACACATGTTCTTCCTGCTCCACAGTCTCAGAGTCCGCATACTCAAATGGTACATTGCCATAGCGCCGGGAGGAGCCTGTCTTGGGGAACTGGAGCTGCAGCTGGGTGATGATTCGAGGTGGTAGGCGACAGGCCCGGATCAACTCCAAAAAGACCTGAAGGGGAGTCCCCACATTCCCTTTGGGCATCAGCACTGGTGGATTCAGCTCTGGCAGCTGCTTCAGGTCAGCCAGGGTAAACACTTCATTCTCTGCCTTTCGACTCTGTAGCTCCTTCCGGGTCTTAAAGGGAAAGTGTTCAAGACCTTGAAAAGGAGAGAGAAGAATGGATTTTTTAAAATCTGGAACTGTCATCAATTTTTTTTTTTTTGAGACAGGATTTCAAAAGTGGCCCCAGCTGACCTGGAACTCTCTATGTAGAGGGAGGGAAGGAAGGAAATTAGTTGATGTTGGTGGTACAGTGGTGTGCACAGTTGCTTTCCAGAATCTAAATGGAATCACTGTATCAGACTTTAGCAAAGTAGAGCTGGGAGGAGGCTATAAATGTGAAGTCCTAACACACCTATCTTGATACAAGATGTTGTTCCTAAAGATTGCCAAAAGCACAACCTGGCACAAAAACCACGTAAGAGGTGTCTGCCAGCCACTGAGTCCAACTCCAACCTTGAACTGACACCATTCATTAGTGACCCTACTATAACCCAGTATAATTGTTTAAAAAGTTTATACAAATTTCCCCATTTTGCCTTTTAAAACTCTTTACTTCCCTTTCTTGCCTGGATACATTTATTTGTAGCATCTGAACACCTATGGTTAACCATTGCCCACATATCCCTAACTGCAATCTCTCACTCTTGAATAAACTCTTTCCTCTATAAAGTCAGTCTCCCAGTTGCTCATTTTAGGTAGAAAGAAACCAAATTTCCTCTTAAAAAAAAAATCCCACAGGCTGGGGATGACTCAGCGGTAAAGCACAGGTACACATGCATGCAATACCTCATACTCGTAAAATAAAAATAGGGGCTGGGGGCTGGATAGATGGCTCAGTGATTAAGGGCACTGACTGCTCTTGCAGAGGACCCGGGTTTGATTCCTAGCACCTACATGGTGGCTACGAGCCGTCCTTAACTCAAGTTCCAGGGGAATCCAAAGCCCTCTTCTGACTTCTACTGGCATTGCACTACACGGATGCACTCACATACATGCAGGCAATACGCTCATACACATAAAATTAAAATAAAAAATAATAATAATAGGGGCTGGAGAGATGGCTCAGCGGTTAGGTGCACTGGCTGCTCTGGCAGAGGACTGGGTTTCCATTTCCAGTACACACGTGGCTAACAGTCCATAACTCCAGTTCCAGGGGATCTGACGCCCCTTTCTGACCTCCGCCAGCATTGCACGACATGAATGCACTTACAAACATACAGACAATACACTCATACGCATAAAATAAAAAACTATAAAAGGGCCTCAGAAGAAAATAAATAAAATAGGCCTTTGTTACGGATTTTTAAGCCTTTTAAACCCCTGGAGAAACTAACGTGCAAGTTGAGCCTGGAAATCTGACAACTGACTTAAACGCCTCAAAGGTCTGACTTATCTTCACTCAGAAAAGGTACCTTCCATTTCAAGGCCCGCAGGTCCAGGTCTTTCTCTCTCTTCCTCTTACCTGGTGCCTCAGTGGGTAGCCTGAGCCTGCGGATGAGACAGCGACCCGGGAGCCAGGTGCCCTGAGAATCCAGCCACCGACGGCCCGAGTACATGCGAACGAGCCTCTGAGCTTGAGCCACTCCGCGCACCGAGATGATGCAGCAGCAGGTGCGGGTCTGGACTGAAGTGGAGCTCCGAGTGGGGACTGGGCGGGCATCGGGGGCCTCAGTCTGGGCGACAACCCGCTCCTCGGTGGCAGGGTCGGTGGACGCTCCGGCCGAGTCGGGGGCAGCCCGGGGAGGGGTCCTCTCGGGCCGATGCCGGTAGTGGAAACACAGGAAGCCTGCGCCGCGCTGCTCCCGGAACTGGCTAAAGTAGCTTCGTAGCTGGGCCGAGCGCAGGGCAACAGGAATACCGCTCACCACCAAGTACACCGCAGACTCTTCCTCCACTTCCCCGGGCGTAGCCATCTTGGATTATCACATGATTGCCTGGAGCCAACTCTCGCGAGAACACCACGCCCCTGGCTCTGGAGGCAATTTGCTAGGGTGGGACGTGTTAGTTGGTTCTTCCGGCTATGCTAAATATGGTTCCTATAGTGACTGCTTGGACCGATTTGTCCAGATCCCTGCATGTTGGGAAAACTCGCCTGATGGGCTCAGTGCCTAGCAAGTGAGAGGCCCGGGGCTCTAATTAGGAGCCAGTTTGTAGTGGCTGGAGCACTCTGGAGGCTGAGCCAGGACAGTTGGCAGTTTGAAGCTAGCTTAATATGGTACCAGGCCAACCAGGGCTACACAGCAAGACCCAACCTAAAATAACTATTAAAAAAAATTATGCCTCCGGGCGTGGTGACGGCACGCCTTTAATCCCAGCACTCGGTAGGCAGAGGAAGGCGGATGTCTGCGAGTTCGAGGCCAGCCTGGTTTACATAATGAGTTCCAGGACAGCTGGGGCTACAAGGAGACCCTGTCTCAAAAAGACCGAAAAAAAAAAAAAAAAAATTATGCCAGGCATGGTGGCGTACGCCTTTAATCCTAGCACCTGGGAGGCATAGGTGGAGCTCTGTGAGGTGGAGGCCAGCCTGGTCTACATAGTGAGTTCCAGACCAGCTGTGTCTACAGAGAGACCTTGTCTCAAAAGTTTTTTTTAAAGCCTTGCTAGTGACTCACACCAGTAATCCTAGCACTTGGGAAAATTGAGGCAGGAGTGTTGTGAGTTCTAGCTAGTCTGAACTAAAAAAGTGAGTTGCTATCGCAAAAAAGACGAAACTAAAAGCGCTTGTGTTGAATGTTTAAAACTACTCTCAGAAACCTTCTTATTAAATAATTCTAGTGCCAGTAGAGGATTACCTCCTTACAAGTTGTTGGACCCCACAAAACAATATAGGTATTGTCACTACTGTTTGTTGCCCACCAGAGCAAAATGGTCAGACCCTATGCTGAGGCCAACACAGGTTGCAGGGCATAAGGTGCAATAGTGACAGGTCTGTTACGTGGATAACCAATTGCTTTGATTGGATTTGAGACCTGCTGCACAGAAGAGAATTCATGTCTGATACTATGAACCACAACAAAGGCCCATGGTTGGGGAGATCATAGGCTCTAGTGGTGAAGCTTGCTGCTCTTTTGCTAAATGGACATGAAGTCCTCATGAAATTGCCTTCTAATTATTTATGCCCATGGATTAGTGCTGTTGTCAACTTTGGTCAGAAAAGCTTCATTTTGCAGTGGGCAGTGGTAACTGAAGAGACTGGTCACAGTGGTGACATTGACAGTGCTCAGCCATAATGGTTCACCTACACTACCCCATCCAAGCCTCAGGGAACATTGTGGAAGAAATGGCATAAAAATGTAAGAGCCAAAGAACTCCAGGCATGGCATGGTGGTTGCGTTCTTGAACTCACAGCAGCTGTGACTATTTGCACAAGATGTGCACAAGATTAGGACCTTCAACATTTTGTCTTGATGCCCCCTCCTCCCTAAGAATTTTTTTTTTTTTGAGACGCAGTCTCACTATGTAGCTCTGGCTGTCCTGGACTTGCTTTATAGACCAGGCTGGCCTTGAACTCACTGAGATCCACCAGCCTCTGCCTCTGCCTCTGGAGTGCTGGAATTAAAGGCCTACCCCACCATGCCCAGCCTGCCTAAAACTTTCCATGCAGGTAATGGTTGATGAGGGAGTGTTGTGTAGCAATTTCCTCTGAATTGAAACATTCTATCCTGGAGAGACTTCCTTAAGAGTCAGTAAGTAAGGAACTTCCCATGGTTAAAGTGTCCTTCCCAAGGTTATATAAGCAGTGAGAACTGCTGGGACCAAGAGACTCTGTCCAACTGCCTGCAAGTCATTCAGGGAGTGCCAAGGACTCAGCTTTGGTGAGGTGTCACCCATGCTGGGGTGGCTTTTCAGTAAGGCATTTTTCTTGGAGTCGCCCATGCTCCTGTGACCTTTCACTCATACTCCTGTAATCCTAATAAATTAATTGGTTTGTTATACTTCAGCCTCAGGACCCCAAAGAGACCAGCGACAGCCCGACACTTCCAAAACTGCAAAAGCAAGGTTTATCGAACAAAAAAGTACAAATCGTGGTAGGGACCTTAACACAGAGACTGGTGCCCCAGCTCTATGAGAAGGCCCAGTCCATCGTTTGGGCTGGCCTTTTATAGGGGACCCACCACAGCCTTACGTCATGGTGGGGTGAATGTACGGGGCCGTAGGTGATTGGTTGTTTGTCAGGCAATTTTGACCGTTTGTGGTTGGGAGGCAGTTTTGACCATTTGTGGCACTTGGTCTCTGGGTATTCCGGGAACTACTCGCTCTTACTGGAAAGATTCAACTGGGGTGTTTAATAAAATGGAGGTTGGTTTTAAAATGGAGTTGCCACAGCTCTTCAGGTTCACCACATTAGACAATGGTGAAATTGTTATTTTGATCTGCCGTTGGTTCTCTATCTGGGATGATTAGATATTTGTTTGCATTTCCCCAGGAAAAGTCACACCAAAGGGAGGGAAAGACATTTTCTGTCGCACTGTAGCCACTGCCAAGGTGCTGGTGTACTCCTGCTCCTATAGGCAATCCTGATGAAACCGATTGGATCATTAAAAAAAAGACATGAGGGCAGGAGAGATGGCTCAGTGGTTGAGAACACTGGCTGGTCTCGCAGAAGGCCCTGGGTTCAAATCCCAGCACCCAAATGGCAGCTAACAACTGTCCGTAACTCCAGTTCCAGGGGATCCAACAGCCTCTTCTGTCCTCCATGGGCATTGCACAACATGGGTGCACTTACCTACGTGCAGGCAATACAAGCCATAAAATAAAAATAATAAATAAAATATTTTTTAACAAAAGACATGAAAGGGAGGCTAGTTGGGAAGAGAAAGTCAATCAGCATGAGTGGGAGGAAGACAAGGTACAGTAATGGGGTGGGGGTGAATATGATCAAAATACATTATGTACATGTATGAAAAAATGTCACAACAAAATGCATTATGTTTAATTAATATATAATAAAACATAAAAACAAACAAGTCTGGCAATGTGGCTCAGTTGGTAGAGTGTTTGCTTAGTTAGCATGCATGAAGTCCTGGGTTCAGTTCCCAGCCCTGCATAAACTGGAGGTGGCAGTGTGTACCTGTAATTCCAGCACTTGGCAGGTTAAGAGGCAGGAGGACCAGAAGTTCAATGTCATCCTTAGCTACATAGCAAGTTTAAGGCCAACTTGGGCTACAGGAAACCCTGCCTCAAAAAAAAAAAAAGTTCTTGTGCATGTTTATCAGGAGGTGTTTTGACAATGTGGAACTTGAATTTGACCATAGCCCTGTGATCCTGAAAAACAGAAGGGACCCCACGCCCCGTCCTTTTATATTCTGGAACATACATTACTGTAAAAAAAAAAATCTATTCATCTAACTTACATAAGACTCACAAATGCCTCTTGTTTACCTGTGATGAGGCCAGACATAGATTCCAAATTCCAATTCTGTGCCTCAGAAAAGCTTGGTTGAACTTCCTTTTCCCACTAATCAATCAAACTTTGGATTTGTGTCTCTCCTTCTCCTGGGTCTCTGAACTTTGGCCGGTTCTCAGCTTGAGCCAGTTCTTACTTCCTGTCCCTCAACAGCTGCCCTTGAGAATAGGCTGGCATTAGAATAAATGGTCTGCTGGTCTTGCTCTCACCCAGTTCTTCCTGACCTTCCTGTGAAAGAAAAACTCCTTTTGCCTAGCCCTCAAGAGCCTCGACGATCTCATGGTCAAGGTCCAAGCCCCTCCCCAGTATAATGTTCCTGTCTTCCTGATTGCAATAGTCCGTTTTCCCTTTATAATAAACCTTAAATCTCCCTGTACTGAGTCTAGATTTCTGGTTTCATTTGACAATATATGTTAGTATTCATAGCTGCAGTGTTTGTGAGAACAAAACTTTGGCATTTTGAACTAATAATCTCAGGTATATGTAGATAAAGTAAGTGAGAAACTGAAATTGTCTGGGTATGGTGGTGCATGACTTTAGTCTCAGCACTTGGGAAGGAGAGGTAGGTGTTGCTCTGTGAGGCTGAGGCCAACCTGGTGAGTTCTAGGCCAGTTGGGGCTACAGAGAGACCCTATGTCAAACAAACAAACAAACAAACAAACAAAATCAAACCAATGAAAAAGAAACTGAAATAATTTCATTTATATAAAGTTGAAAATTGCAAACTAAAAAAGGATTTAGGGATACATAAAAAAAATCTACCTAAAACCGGGGCTGGAAGGATGGCTCAGCAGTTAAGAATACTGGTTGTTCTTGCAGAAGACCTGGTCTCAAATCCCAGCACCCACATGGCAGATAACAACTATCCGTAACTCCAGTTCCAGGGGATCGACGGCCTCTTCTGTCCTCTGCGGGCATTGCACGACATGGGTGCACTTACCTACACGCAGGTGATACACGCATACACATAAAAAAAAAAATCACTGGGCATGATGGCACACACCTGTAGTCCCAGCACTTGGGAGGCAGATGCAGGCAGATCTCTGTGAGTTCAAGGCCAACCTGGTCCACATAGTGAGTTCCAGGACAGCTGGGGCTACAGGGAGACCCTGCATCAAAAAAAAGACAAAAAAAAAAAAAAAAATCTGCCTAAAACAAAGCCAGGCTTGGCAGGGCACACCTTAATCTCAGTGCTTGAGAGGATGAGGTAGGAGTATAGCCACAAGTTTAAGGTCACCCTGGCTTGCATATCCCATATTATGATCCTATCTCAGAGGCAGGGGCGGGGAGGGAGGGAGGGAGGGGGAGAGGGAGAGAGAATATGAGAAAGTAAAAAGCCAAGAAGTTATTAACTAAAATTTAGAGTGGTCATTAGCTTTAGGGGAAATGACAGATTCAGAAAAGAACTTCAGAGTTGGTGGGGATAATGGCCCAAGGAACACTGTGCAGACTCTTACACTGCCATACTTCATAGTATGCACACATATGGTTTATGAACATCGTTTT